TGTCTCTTTCACTCACTGTGTACACTCAGCTCCTAGTTTGGGGCTTGGGGGCATAGTAGGCATTCGGTATACTATTTTTCAGTGAATGAATAAATGAAACAGAAGCACTTAGCTAGAGTACAAAACCTGACATTGTAAAAGGCATGGTGATTATGAGCTCGTTTTGCTAACAATATGGAGCAGCCAGTATGTGTTAGGCATTGAATTTGGCACTAAAGATAAAGAGATTAAAAGACAAGGTATCTTCTGGACTTGGTGGGATAACATTCTAGAGCAGAATTCTAGAGCACCAACCAACACTTATGAAGCTCCTCTGGGCCAGACACCCAGCTAAGCACTGGGAAAATCTAGCGACTCCCTACTTCAAGGAGCTCACAGTGGTGGTGCTGGGGTGGGTGAGTGGGTCTATAACAGAGGTCTCTATAACAAAGGTGCTTACACAGGAACAGGATGTGATGATCCTGCCCAGAGGTATCAACATAGTTACCTTTCACTACTATAATAGCTTTTTTTTTTTTTAAATTAATTTTAAATATGTGGGGTACAATTCAGAGTTAGGTATACATATGTTCATTATGCAGGTACCCCTCCCCCCCATATAACTTTAAACAAAGAGAAGCAGTCACTGATCAGGAAAGTCATAAAATTCCTAATTGAGTGGAATATTTTTTTTTTTAGGTAACAAATTCCTGCCTCTACTCCCAGGGATATATATATACTTATTTAATGTCCCAGAATCTGGAAAAGTGGGTTCTTCCACCCACTGATAAGCACTAGATTACACATTATGGCAGTTTTAAGAGTATATGTGCAGCAAGACAATGAGGACAGAATTCAGACTCCAGTTCTGTAAGAGGGCCTTCGGTATTGTGTTCATTATCCCAAAGCATTTAAAAAATTTAGAAGCAGTAACTGCTCAGTAAATGGCAGTGACTTTGCTGCTCCAACTGAGTCCAGGGCTGCAAACATCCATCTAGGGCTCAGCATCAGCAGTTTCCCACAGGAGAGTCTGGGGGGATTTCACACAGCCCTTCTGCTGCCCGGGACAAGCTCCGACCAAGTCCACCTCCACAGTCAGCACACGCCAGCTCCAGACTCTCCTACTTCCTGGGTCCCTGTATCCATCCTCTTTAACCCTGCCAGGATTGGTCCCAGCACAACTCATTTGCAGGCAGAGTAACCAACTTGTCTAAAGGACCAGGACGAGCTGAGATCTGATATCTTCACAGCTAAGAAGGAAGGATCGGCAGACAGGCTTGAGATCTTTTCTTCTTACCTTCTTCCCATTAAGTGTGTTTTCCAGTTATTAATTACAGAATCCACGGGAATATGCATGCATTTGTTTCTGGTCTTTTGTTCGCCATGTTGTGTAACCTGTGTCTCACTGAAGTTAGACACAGTTAGTTAACGCTGTGAGCAGCAGCGATTTAGCACGTGGGGATTTGCGCCATTTAAAGCTCTAGCCAGCTGTTTTACGTTGGTTGTGCCAACACATGAGGCAGAAAAAGCACACACCAAAATTGCCCCACACAGTCAGGAAGTAGAGCTGGTGATACAGGTACTTCGGAGGCGGAGGTAGAAGCAGGGGAGAGACAGCAGAGGTCTGGAATTCACCACCTGCAGCCCTCCTCCCACAACCCTTCAACTTGCCCTGGTTGGCGGGTGGGGGGGAAGCTCTCCCCTGCTCTTGTCACACCCAGTGTGTGACTCTTTGGTGATGATGAAAGGGGGCGTGTTCAGAAATCCCAAATGCTACCTTTGAACCCAGGCACCTCAGATGACGCCCATCTTTCCCCTTGACTTTGATACCGTTTTTCATAACCTAATTTAATGTTGAACGTGTTACACAACATATCTGCCCTGAGTTGTGCAATTCGGAAGGGTGGCAGCATAGTAGAAAAACTGGTCTAACTTCAGTGAGACACAGGTTACACAACATGGCGAACAAAAGACCAGAAACAAATGCACGCATATTCCTGTGGATTCTGTAATTAATAATTGGAAAACACACTTGACGAGAAGGTAAGAAAAAAAGGTCTCAAGGCTGTCTGCCGATCCTTCCTTCTTGGCTGTGAAGTAAACACACTCGCTTTAAATTGTCTTATAGCTTTCCTTTACACTCGTGCTGAATTTCAAATTGACACTAGACACAGTGTTGAGAAGAATCGTTGCAGCTTGCTTTTTCATCACCTTTACATGAAAGAGTTGTTAAGACTTCAAAACGGCATTTCTTCACTCTTAACAGAACCACTTTTCAACATATTCAGTGAGTTTGATTTTCATTCCACTAGATTCAGGAGACAACTATCATTAAGCAAGACTTCCAGTCCCACCTTTTCTTTTATGTTGGGGGAGGGTTTGAAATGGTTAAAGGCTGGCCAGAGGTGGCACTAACACTGCTTTCATAGGCACTTTCAAAGGCAATGGGATGGGGTTTATGAGCTGGGAGCAGGGAGACCTGCCCGGATTATCATGCTGGCTCTATCGCTAGCTGCCCACACTTAAACCTTTTCGTGCCTCCGTTTTCTTCTCTATAGAATGGAACACAACTATTCTGTGAAAAAGTGAGGACCGGCACCCAGCACAGTGGCAAACATGCTGAAAGCCGTGGAAGGCCCTGAGGAGTGAAACAGACTTGACTTCAAATCCCCGCCTGTCACTAGCAGAGAGACCCTGGATTTGTTACTTTACAATGTTCTGCCTTGCTCTGAGTCATAACCGATGCTTTAACACCCACACTGAGTATGAAACTGATGCCATCTGTGAAGTGGCACCAGAGGTGTCTGTTCCCGGCATTATTTGCCATACAGGTACTTGTCACTCAGATACCTGCAGCACCTCTGTAGATCCGGGTATCAGACAGACTACTTCTGAATGATGCCTTTAAAGGGAACTTACAGCCGGCTGGACTCCAGCGTGAGAACTTAGGGTACCTTGGGCAGGGCTGAACCCACACACTCTTACAAAGCCCTGAGGGTTTAGGGGGTGAGTTTGGGGAGATGACAGTCTGGCAAGCAGTGGCTAAAGCAGAAACACCACCTTCTGCCGATGCATTTAGAACCCCACCTCGCTTCAGAAAAGGCGCACCTGAGAACCTGCTAGTCAATAATATGGGATGGAGCTTCGTCCAGGGACCCTGCTTTATTTGAAATCAGAGGAGTACACGCAGGTAGCTGCCCCTTCTGGACACACCTGAAAGGCCCGCTTTAGGTCGAAGCGCCTTCTTTAACCAGACCTGCACCTCAGTTGGCAGAGAGGGGAGGACAGGGACACGAAGATGCTCACCGTTCAAGGCAACCACCCAGGACGCCCTGCGGTCGCGCTGCGCGGGGAGATGAGCCGTCGCTCGCCACGGAGATCGCCGACCCTGTGGCCGGTAGTTGCAATGCCCATGACCCTGGCCTCAATGTTACAGTATCTCTGCCCTTATCGTGTCAAGGAGAACATCATAAATATGCCTTGCGCCGCGAGTCAGCAATGGGAGATCATTGATACGCAAGTAAGCGGTGGGACGGGGAGCTGCGTCTTGGCGGAGCTTGAGACGCAGAGGAGGAAGAGCCCAAACCAAACAGCCGAGAGACGCGCGCCCGAGCAACGCGTGGTGTCCAGCAACCGCAACTCCCCACCTCAGAAAAAAAGGGAAACGTTTTAACGCCGAGAAAAGCAGAGGGAACCGAAGCGGGTGCAAACAATCCAGGTACAGGCAAGGCAGCGCTGCCGCCCCCGGGTCTCGGTTTCCCTGCCCGCAAAACGGACGTTGCACTAAAATGTCTCCCTAGGGCTGCAATTCACCAGGTTGAAACTGCCCAAGACTCGGACACCGGAAGAGGGAAAAGCGAGGGAGGATAACAGGGGAGAGAAAGGGAACAGTGGGTGGGAGCCTATGAAAGGAAAGGTTTTTGAGACTGGCTAGGCGGGTTTTCAACTTTTCTCCTTCCTCTTACACCTGAGTTCTCGCCGGCGGACCAAGGTCCCGTGCCCGTCGAGCTCGGACACCAGTAGCCAAGCTTCTCACCCCCACCCCCCACCAATTTCTGGAAGCCCCGAGGCAGATGGTGGGCAGGACAGTAATGAATGCCAGGGGTAGAAAGGGGAATGGTCCCGGCTGGGCTCCCGAGGGCAGGTGAGCGCATATGGGGCTGGGCCGGGGGTGAGATGGCACCACGCTGGCCATCGCAGAAGCGCGCGCGTCCCAGGCCGGAGCCCCGGGAGGGCCACATTTTATTTCCCAACTTTGAGCAAGGGGAGGGGATGTATGCAAAAAGGGGGGAAAAGTTGCTGAACTTTTCCCCCAACTCTGCCGTAGAGGCGGGACCGGAGGGCGGCGCCTGCACCCTGATTCGCCGGCGGCCGGAGTCGG